TGTGTACGGGCGCCTCAATGATTGGATGGATGGATGGATGGCCTCTCAATGATTGGATGGATGGCTGTGTGTATGGGCGCCTCAATGATTGGATGGATGGATGGCTGTGTGTATGGAAGCCGCAGTTCTCACGAGCGCAGTCCGTTCCGGTCCGGACACAGAAAATACTGCATGTCACATAACGTTGCAAAACGCGTCAATAACGCATAGCACCGCTTCTGCAGATCTGGTCCAGACATGGTGTGAACAAGCCCTTAAAGGGGATTTCCCTCCCCAATGAGAACACCCCGGAGCGATGATTGGGTGAAGAAATAGGAGACATCAAAGCTTGCAGCCATGTTGGGGGCTGGCGGTTCCCCAGCAGAATCGTGTCATGAGGACACCGGGCTGAGTGGAAGGGGTGACCCCTCTCTCATGCTCCCATAGTCTGTGACCCACCCAAGAGGAAACAGGTGTCCTTCCTATTCCGTGCCTGGCCATGGACGGGTTAACCCCTTCCCTGCCAGCCGGCCGCCATGACACCGCCGCGTTCCGCTCGCCGCCGCAGAAATAAACAAATTCCCTCATTTTCAAGAAATGTCAACTTTCCGACTTCCCTTATGTTCTGCAGGTGCACAAAAAAACATTTTTGCGGAATGTCTGAGATTGTTATCCCGGGTCCGGTCCGCCCCAAATTCCATTTCCCAAACCACCGTATCTTCCCTGCGCACATATATATATAGAGAGAGTCACATGACCCCTGAGATGAAACAATACATGTGACCCCGCAAATGGGGGAGACATCTAATCGGATCTTTGTTCTCATCTCATAGGAAAAACTGACTTTGGTTTTATTTCTTCCATCTCAGTGCTGCTGATCTCCTGCAGACTCTTTGCAGCCACTTCCTGTCTACATGCACTCCAGCTGCATGATATTTTGGGTTTCCTGGGGGTTACAACAGTGGTCCATGTCTGTGTAATGTGAGTTGAAACATCCACTTGTAGTAGGAAGCCCAAGACAGCACAGGAGGGCAATTGGGAGACAGAAATAGAATGTTGTCACCCTATAACAGGAAGTGTCTGAACAAGGACAGAGCGATGTCACCCTATAACAGGAAGTGTCTGAACAAGGACAGAGCGATGTCACCCTATAACAGATTTAAAAATATTAGAAATGATATTAAATCTGAACTCCGGACACAAAAGGTCTAAATATATTTCTCAGTAGCCACAAAGGATATAAATCCACCAAATGCCTTTACAAACCCAGATATTACCTTGTGCAAGTAGCAGTGACATCATCCCTGTGCTGTGCATAGCCTGTGCAGAGAGCAGAGCTGTGGGAGGGACCAAGCATGCCCCACCCACTACAGAAAACTACAGAGGATGCGGAGAAGGTGTGCGGGCGCAGTGGCAGTGCGGAGGAGGTGTGCGGGCGCAGTGGCAGTGCGGAGGAGGTGTGCGGGCGCAGTGGCAGTGCGGAGGAGGTGTGCGGGCGCAGTGGCTGTGCGGAGGAGTTGTGCGGGCGCAGTGGCTGTGCGGAGGTGTGAGGAGTCTGTACAGGTGTTCCTCTGCAGTGATAAGTCTGTACGGGTGTTCCTCTGCGGTGATGAGTCTGTACGGGTGTTCCCCTGCGGTGATGAGTCTGTACGGGTGTTCCTCTGCGCTGATAAGTCTGTACAGGTGTTCCTCTGCGGTGAGGAGTCTGTACGGGTGTTCCTCTGCGGTGATGAGCCTGTACAGGTGTTCCTCTGCGGTGATGAGTCTGTACAGGTGTTCCTCTGCGGTGATGAGTCTGTACGGGTGTTCCTCTGCGGTGATGAGTCTGTACAGGTGTTCCTCTGCGGTGATGAGTCTGTACGGGTGTTCCTCTGCGGTGATGAGTCTGTACGGGTGTTCCTCTGCAGTGATGAGTCTGTACAGGTGTTCCTCTGCGGTGATGAGTCTGTACGGGTGTTCCTCTGCTGTGATGAGTCTGTACGGGTGTTCCTCTGCGGTGATGAGTGTGTACAGGTGTTCCTCTGCGGTGTACATTCATCACCTCGGAATTTATCTGTGACACCGTTATCAGGAAGGGTTGTCACTGATAGAAGTTTCCTCCTAGGTCTGGAACATACAGTACATGTGTCACGTGGATACTCTGCATGCCCCCTGTCCCCTTTGCACTGAAATCAAGTTCTGTGAAGAAGGTCTCATCACTGGTCATGTGACTTGTTGCACCTGAGTCAATACGCCATCCGCGTGGTATACTGTTCTGAGTCACTGTAGAGGTCGTGCTCCGTGATGTGTCTGCAGTTTCCTGTGTGGCTGCCTGAGCTCTTTCTCTTGTAGCTGCCTCTCGCTTTCTCGGCTTTCCAGACGGAACATTCCTTTGTCAGGTGACCGGTGATAACACGCTCTGCTCTCTACGTTCTGCTCTGCACTCTCATGCACCTTGAGGGCTTTCTCATTTTCTTCATTGTTCATATTTTCATTCCTTCCGTCACATTCATCCATTATATTTCCCTTTGGTGTATTGTAGTGTTAGTTCCTGCTCAGGTCTGGTCTCTAGAGTGTTAATAAGAGCGATGTATGACTCTGGGAGGCTGCGTAGCAGTAATGTCACCACGCGATTATCTTTCATTTCCTCTCCAATTACAGTAGCAGACTTATAATTGCCGGTTCTTCTTGTCCCGTTCCTCCGCTGGTCCATCACTGGGTCTGTGTGTACTCAGTACTGGTCACATGTAAAACTTCATATCTGAACAGCTCACTATCTTTCAGTAGCTTGGATGCGGCTCTGCTTGGCTCGCAGTCTTCTGTTCCGGGCCCATCACATGTTGGTTATGTGTAGATGAAGCTCTGAGATCCTGAGGAATGCTGAATTCAGTTTTACGTTCTTAGCAGGATGTTACATGTATGTATACAGGAATACAGCATTATACAGGAAACATATATATGATAGATAAGTAAGCCTAGAGACCAACATTGCACTATAGCGCCATCTAGTACTCAAATGACATCACCACACAAGCAATACAATCAGTATGCGGTTATCACTGGCCGAGAGAGGAGGAGAGACACTGTGTAAGTCAATGCGCGCAGCTGTGAGCGTGCACACCGGACAGACTCCGTGGGACAGGAAGACACAGCAGTCTGCGCTGGATCAGAGACCGGCACCAGCGCTGGAGGGATTGCTGAAAACTACTGGAAGGAAGCAGATGATTGGATCACGAGGCATCACATGAGGCAAGTCCTTCCAGCAGCATTGGGGGGGAAAATGGAGGATTTAGTATTAATGTTAGACTTCGTCTAGTCCATGGCCCCTCCCCTTTATTGATCCTGATCCTATTCCAGGAGTCCTGCTGTAATTTAGGGTTCTACGTACCCCAGATATTCTAACATACAGCCTGGTAACCCGCTCAGACCTCACAAACCCGGGGCCCCATGGTATTTTAGTACATATGGCCTTGCCATTGAGTATTTGCTTCAGGTGGGTAAAACCGCTCTCAAAACCGGCGTCCATTCCTCAGAGACCCCAGCAGTGCCCCAGTGGGTAGTGCAGACAGATGGGGTATGTTCAACTTGCCTGTCCCACATGCAGCTGACATTGTAAATGTTCTTCTCAGTGAAAACAGCTCATCGTCCTCCACTTTATATGGTGGGTGACCAGAAGGAATGAATCCCAGAGAGATTCATTGATCTTGAAGATTCCTCAGTTCCCACACTCCCCTTGTACTTCTTACATTGATTTATTAGTTAGGGTTTAGTGTTAGGGTTCCGGATTAGAGTTTAGGGGTTAGGTTTAGGGTTTAGAGTTCCAGGTTAGAGTTCAGGGTTCAGGGTTGACAGTGAGGGTTTAGTGTTAGGGTTAGGCTATAGGGTTATGGTTAAGGGTTAGGGTTCGGATTCCGTGTTAGGGTTAGAGGTTGGGGTTCAGGTTTAGGGGTCAGGGTTTATGGTTCAGGGGTTAGGGGTTAGGTTTAGGGTATAGGGGTTAAGAGTTAGGGTTCCAGTTTAGGGGTTAGGTTTAGGGTATAGGGGTTAAGAGTTAGGGTTCCGGTTTAGGGGTTAGGTTTAGGGTATAGGGGTTAAGAGTTAGGGTTCAGGTTTAGGGGTTAGGGTTCAGGTTTAGGGGTTAGGGTTCAGGTTTAGGGGTTAGGCTTCAGGGTTAGGGTTTACAGTTCAGGGGTTAGGGTTTAGTGTTAGGGTTCAGGGGTTAGGGTTTAGGGTTAGAGTTTTGGGTTCAGGTTTAGGGGTTAGGTTTTTGGGGTAAGGGTACAGGTTTAGGATTCAGGGTTAGGGTTTAGTGTTAGGGTTCAAATATAACCCCGATGCCTCATTACTGCTCCAGGTTTTCCAGTGTCAGGTTTTGTGGAATACAGGTTAGGGTTAGCGAGACTTTGGGTTAGGGGTTAGGATTCATGGTTAGGGTTTAGGTGTTAGGGTTCAGGGTTAGTGTTTAGGGGTTAGGGTTCAGAGTTAGTGTTTAGGGGTTAGGGTTCAGGTTTAGGGGTTAGGTTTAGGGTTATGGTTTAGGGGTTAGGGTTCAGGGGGTTAGTGTTAGGGTTCAGGGTTGTGGAATACAGGTTAGGGGTAGCGAGACTTTGGGTTAGGGTTCAGGCTTAGGGGTTAGGGTTTAGGATTAATGGTTAGGGGTTAGGGTTCAGGGGTTAGTGTTAGGGGTTAGGGTATAGTGGTTAGGGTTCAGGGTTAGGTTTAGGGTTCAGGGGTTAGGGTTCAGGGATAGGATTCAGGGTTTAGAGTTAGGGTTTAAGGTTCAGGTTTAGGGTTCATTTTTAGGGTTCAGGGTTAGGGGTTAGGGTTGATGGTGAGGGTTTAGGGTTAGGCTATAGGGTTAGGGTTCCGTAACCCTAACCCTAAGGGTTCAGGTTTAGGGTTTAGGGATTAGGGTATAGGGGTTAGGGTTCAGGGTTAGGGTTTAGAGTTAGGGTTTTGGGTTCAGGGTTAGGGTTGATGGTGAGGGTTTAGGCTATAGGGTTATGGTTAGGGTTCTGTGTTAGGGTTAGAGGTTGGGGTAGGGTTCAGGGTTCAGGGTTAGGGTTTAGAGTTAGGGTTTAAGGTTCAGGTTTAGGGTTCATTTTTAGGGTTCAGGTTTAGGGGTTAGGGTTCAGGGTTTACGGTTCAGGGGTTGGGGTTTAGTATTAGGGTTCAGGTTTAGGGTATAGGGGTTAGGGTGTTGGGTTCAGGTTCAGGGTTAGGGTTCATGGTTTTGGGGTTAGGGTTCAGGGTTAGGGTATAGGGGTTAGGGTGTTGGGTTAGGGTTTAGGATTCAGGGTTAGGGTTCATAGTTTTGGGGTTAGGGTTCAGGGTTTAGGGTTATGGTATAACCCCGATGCCTCATTACTGCTCCAGGTTTTCCAGTGTCAGGCTTTGTGGAATACAGGTTAGGGTTAGTGAGACTTTGGGTTAGGATTCATGGTTAGGTTTAGGGGGTTAGGGTAAAGGGGTTAGGGTTCAGGGTTTACGGTTTAGGGTTAGGATTCAGGGTTAGGGTTCAGGTTTAGGGGTTAGGGTATAGGGGTTAGGGTTCAGGGTTAGGTTTTAGGGTTTTGGGTTCAGTGTTAGGCTTCAGATTTAGGGGTTAGGGTTGAGGTTTAGGTGTTAGGGTTTTGGGTTCAGGGTTAGGGTTCAGGTTTAGGGTTTTGGGTTCAGTGTTAGGGTTCAGATTTAGGGGTTAGGGTTCAGGCTTAGGAGTTAGGGTTTAGGATTCATGGTTAGGGTTCAGGTTTAGGGGTTAGGGTTCAGGGTTTATGGTTCAGGGTTTAGGGTTAGGGTTCAGGGTTGGGGTTTGGGGGTAGGGGTGGGTTAGGGTTCCGGATTAGAGTTTAGGGGTTAGGTTTAGGGTTTAGAGTTCCAGGTTAGAGTTCAGGGTTCAGGGTTGACAGTGAGGGTTTAGTGTTAGGGTTAGGCTATAGGGTTATGGTTAAGGGTTAGGGTTCGGATTCCGTGTTAGGGTTAGAGGTTGGGGTTCAGGTTTAGGGGTCAGGGTTTATGGTTCAGGGGTTAGGGGTTAGGTTTAGGGTATAGGGGTTAAGAGTTAGGGTTCCAGTTTAGGGGTTAGGTTTAGGGTATAGGGGTTAAGAGTTAGGGTTCCGGTTTAGGGGTTAGGTTTAGGGTATAGGGGTTAAGAGTTAGGGTTCAGGTTTAGGGGTTAGGGTTCAGGTTTAGGGGTTAGGCTTCAGGGTTAGGGTTTACAGTTCAGGGGTTAGGGTTTAGTGTTAGGGTTCAGGGGTTAGGGTTTAGGGTTAGAGTTTTGGGTTCAGGTTTAGGGGTTAGGTTTTTGGGGTAAGGGTACAGGTTTAGGATTCAGGGTTAGGGTTTAGTGTTAGGGTTCAAATATAACCCCGATGCCTCATTACTGCTCCAGGTTTTCCAGTGTCAGGTTTTGTGGAATACAGGTTAGGGTTAGCGAGACTTTGGGTTAGGGGTTAGGATTCATGGTTAGGGTTTAGGTGTTAGGGTTCAGGGTTAGTGTTTAGGGGTTAGGGTTCAGAGTTAGTGTTTAGGGGTTAGGGTTCAGGTTTAGGGGTTAGGTTTAGGGTTATGGTTTAGGGGTTAGGGTTCAGGGGGTTAGTGTTAGGGTTCAGGGTTGTGGAATACAGGTTAGGGGTAGCGAGACTTTGGGTTAGGGTTCAGGCTTAGGGGTTAGGGTTTAGGATTAATGGTTAGGGGTTAGGGTTCAGGGGTTAGTGTTAGGGGTTAGGGTATAGTGGTTAGGGTTCAGGGTTAGGTTTAGGGTTCAGGGGTTAGGGTTCAGGGATAGGATTCAGGGTTTAGAGTTAGGGTTTAAGGTTCAGGTTTAGGGTTCATTTTTAGGGTTCAGGGTTAGGGGTTAGGGTTGATGGTGAGGGTTTAGGGTTAGGCTATAGGGTTAGGGTTCCGTAACCCTAACCCTAAGGGTTCAGGTTTAGGGTTTAGGGATTAGGGTATAGGGGTTAGGGTTCAGGGTTAGGGTTTAGAGTTAGGGTTTTGGGTTCAGGGTTAGGGTTGATGGTGAGGGTTTAGGCTATAGGGTTATGGTTAGGGTTCTGTGTTAGGGTTAGAGGTTGGGGTAGGGTTCAGGGTTCAGGGTTAGGGTTTAGAGTTAGGGTTTAAGGTTCAGGTTTAGGGTTCATTTTTAGGGTTCAGGTTTAGGGGTTAGGGTTCAGGGTTTACGGTTCAGGGGTTGGGGTTTAGTATTAGGGTTCAGGTTTAGGGTATAGGGGTTAGGGTGTTGGGTTCAGGTTCAGGGTTAGGGTTCATGGTTTTGGGGTTAGGGTTCAGGGTTAGGGTATAGGGGTTAGGGTGTTGGGTTAGGGTTTAGGATTCAGGGTTAGGGTTCATAGTTTTGGGGTTAGGGTTCAGGGTTTAGGGTTAGGGTATAACCCCGATGCCTCATTACTGCTCCAGGTTTTCCAGTGTCAGGCTTTGTGGAATACAGGTTAGGGTTAGTGAGACTTTGGGTTAGGATTCATGGTTAGGTTTAGGGGGTTAGGGTAAAGGGGTTAGGGTTCAGGGTTTACGGTTTAGGGTTAGGATTCAGGGTTAGGGTTCAGGTTTAGGGGTTAGGGTATAGGGGTTAGGGTTCAGGGTTAGGTTTTAGGGTTTTGGGTTCAGTGTTAGGCTTCAGATTTAGGGGTTAGGGTTGAGGTTTAGGTGTTAGGGTTTTGGGTTCAGGGTTAGGGTTCAGGTTTAGGGTTTTGGGTTCAGTGTTAGGGTTCAGATTTAGGGGTTAGGGTTCAGGCTTAGGAGTTAGGGTTTAGGATTCATGGTTAGGGTTCAGGTTTAGGGGTTAGGGTTCAGGGTTTATGGTTCAGGGTTTAGGGTTAGGATTCAGGGTTAGGGTTTAGAGTTAGGGTTCAGGTTTGGGGTTCCGGGTTAGGTTTAGGGATTAGGGTTTTGGGTTAGGTTTAGGGGTTAGGGTTTTGGGTTCAGTGTTAGGGTTCAGATTTAGGGGTTAGGGTTCAGGGTTTTGGGTTCAGGTTTAGGGGTTAGGGGTTAGGGTTTAGGGTTCAGGGTTTGGGGTTGGGGTTGGGTTCAGGTTTAGGGGTTAGGGTTCAGGGTTTATGGTTCAGGGTTTAGGGTTAGGATTCAGGGTTAGGGTTTAGAGTTAGGGTTCAGGTTTGGGGTTCCGGGTTAGGTTTAGGGATTAGGGTTTTGGGTTAGGTTTAGGGGTTAGGGTTTTGGGTTCAGTGTTAGGGTTCAGATTTAGGGGTTAGGGTTCCGGGTTTTGGGTTCAGGTTTAGGGGTTAGGGTTTTGGGTTCAGTGTTAGGGTTCAGATTTAGGGGTTAGGGTTCCGGGTTTTGGGTTCAGGTTTAGGGGTTAGGGTTTAGGGTTCAGGTTAAGGGGTTAGGGTTCAGGGTTTAGGGTTCAGGTTTAGGGGTTAGGGTTCAGGGTTTAGGGTTCAGGTTAAGGGGTTAGGGTTTTGGGTTCAGGGTTAGGGTTCAGGTTTAGGTGTTAGGGTTTTGGGTTAGGGTTCAGGTTTAGGGGGTTAGTGTTAGGGTTTAGGGGTTATGGTTCAGGGCTGGGGTTAGGGTTCAGGGTTAGGGTTTTGGGTTCAGTGTTAGGGTTCAGATTTAGGGGTTAGGGTTCAGGGTTTTGGGTTCAGGTTTAGGGGTTAGGGTTCAGGTTTAGGGGTTAGGGTTTTGTGTTCAGGTTTAGGGGTTAGGGTTCAGGGGTTAGGGTTCAGGTTTAGGGGTTAGGGTATAGTGGTTAGGGGTTAGGGTATATCCCTGACGCCTCATTACTGCTCCAGGTTTTGGGTTAGGGTTAGGGTTAGGGTTTAGAGTTACGGTTTAGGGTATAGGGTTCAGGTTTAGGGTATAGGGTTCAGGTTAAGGGGTTAGGGTATAGGGTTAGGCTAGGGTTAGGGTTCAGGGTTAGGGTTCAGGGTATAGGGTTCAGGTTAAGGGGTTAGGGTATAGGGTTCAGGTTTAGGGTATAGGGTTCAGGTTTAGGGTAAGGGTATAGGGTTCAGGTTTAGTGTTAGGGTTCAGGGTTAGGCTAGGGTTAGGGTTCAGGGTTAGGGTATAGGGTTAGGGTTCAGGTTAAGGGTTTAGGGTATAGGGTTTAGGGTTCAGGGTTAGGCTAGGGTTCAGGGTTAGGGTATAGGGTTCAGGTTAAGGGTTTAGGGTATAGGGTTCAGGGTTAGGCTAGGGTTAGGGCTAGGCTATAACCCCGATGCCTCATTACTGCTCCAGGTTTTCCAGTGTTGTGTGGGGTTTTGTGGAATGCCGGGAATGGGAGGAGAGGAATTCCACAGAAAAGATTTTTTATCACACTTGAGCTTCCTCGGGTCTCCTGTGTGACAACTCGCGGAGAGTTATAACCATCACACGTGACTTGCCTTCTATTGCAGTGCCCATAGACCATCGTCCTCCGGGGCCCCTCTGCTGCACTAATCTGTATTCTTCTTTATAAAACACATGGCAGAGCTGAAAATATTTGTTTCCTAATTAGCTGAGCTGCCTCCTCAAGTATATTAAAGCCAATCTGTTCTTAGTTAAAACTAGGGGAAAGTAGGGAAAGGTTAGAAACCCTCGAGTTTTTTTTATTGCCGTCTGTGTACCTGCTGCGGAGATTCACCTGAGGAAACCTGATCCAGTGAGGGCACCTGGTCCAAGGGGGGTGTCTGGTCCCATGGGGTGGGGGTGCCTGTTCCAATATGAACATCTGTTCCCATGGGGGCACCTGTTCCAATGAGGGTGCCTGTT